AATGTCAATCAACCTGGACAAAAGTAACAAACCTTCTAGGGTAGAAAACTAGGGCAAAGGTAACTCCTCAGGGCTTAGGAAAAAAATCTCTCAAGCTGTTTTTCCAAAGAACCAAGGAAAAAGGCCACATAAAGGAACACATTTCACCACAGCACCATTTCAGGGTGGGCTGGAGCTTCCGGGGAATGCAAATATCCAAACGTTTCCCTCACCTCCGTACTCCTACTTCCCATGGCCCTCAAATTTGGGAATTGATTTGTAGTCTCCTGAGCTGAGGAAACAGAGGACTTTTTGAAGTTTTAAAGGTTATCAGAAAACACTAATGGCTATGTCACAAACACATTTTTCAAATGCAAAAAAAAAACTGGGCATATAAAGATAGAAATGGAAGTGCATGAGGATATTCATAAATGTTTTCCTGGGGCCTCTGTGATGCAAATATTTAAGCGCTGGACTATTAACTAAAAGACTGGTGGTTCGAACCCACCCAGAGGTGTCTCAGAAGAAAAGCTTGGTGATCTGCTTCCAAAAGGTCACAGTTTTGAAAACCCTATGGAGCGCATTTCTACTCTACAACACGAGTTCGCTATGAGTCGAAATCAACTTGATGGCAATGGGTTTGATTTTTTTGGTTGTGTGCTAGCCACTAGTAAGAATGAAGAGGCAAACTGGACCCAGAAGAGCCTGATTAAGCTCAAGAGTGTGGTGAGGAGAGGAGAGATGGAGACCTTCAGTTATACCAGAGCTGCACAGGCCAAGATTGTAGCTACTCGCCACATGTGGCTAAGTATTTAAATTTAGATTAATTAAAATTAAATCAAATTTAGAATTCAATTTCTCCAATAGAGATTTAAACTTTGGGCTGGATGCATTGCTGCCATTGAAAAATAAAAAATGTGGTCCAACAGCCAAAATGTGGAAACAGCCTAAATATCTAGCAACAGATGAATGGATGAACAAAATGTGATCTATCCATACAATGGAATATTACTCAACCATAAAGAGAAATGAAGCCCTGATGCATGCCACAACATGGATGAACCTTGAAAACATTATGCTGAATGAAAATAAGTCTGTCACAAAAGGACAGATATCGTATGATCCCTCTCAGCCATGTCTGTTCCCCATTCCCTTCTTCATTATGGGCCACCTCAGGCACGGGGAACAACCTGTGTACATTCTGGCACATATCTTTGGTATCTTAGGCATGGATCATGTAATTGCGCGTTACAGAAAGCCATTCAAGCTGGCTTAAGTTAGATCTGCTTATTGGAAGGACATGTTGTTGTTGTTGAGTGCCATTGAGTCAATTCTGACTCATAGCGACCCCATATGACAAAGTAGAGCTGCCCATAGGGTATTTTTGGCTGTAATCTTTACAGAAGCAGATAGCCAGGTTTTTTCTCCCACAGGGCTGCTGGGAGGGTTTGAACCGCCAACTTTTCAGTTAGCAGCTGAGCACTTAACCGTTGTCTCACTAGGGCTCCTTATTGGAAGGACATAGTGGGATTTAAAGGAAGCCAACTACAGAAATTATATCCAGATCCTAGAGAAACTGGAAAGCTGCCAAATGGCTTCTCTCTGCCCCTTGCAATCTGGGGCTCCATCATCTCTCATCTAGGCTTTACTCAAATCATCTGCTCCATTCTGTCTCCAAAGATGAGCTTCCTCTTATCATAAAGCCAATTTGTGGCTGACATAAGTTGCTGCCCGGGCAAACATTAATTCCTCTTCGTTGCCCTTTCACTCAGCATCTGGCATGGCTGTTCCTATCTTGTCACCCAGTCTGTCAACAGTTATGAGCTCTAACTGGCCCTCCCAGCCATGTCCCATAAGGTTTCCCATGATAAGAACTTGTTACTACCTCATAACCCAGTCTCTTAACAGCCATAGTTATCTTTGCCCCTCCCAAATGTGTCCACATGACTCTCTATGATAAAACATCTCCCTTTTCCCATGCTAATGCCCTAGAAACTTTTAAACTGACCAATAAGACTTCAGCGTGCACTAACCCCAAGACCTCACCTTACTTTCCATGTGTGAGCCCTCTCCTACAGTTCCAGCCTGTGGTCTTGTCCCCGTGCTCAACCTCCTGTGTGGCCCTGCATCGAGGTGTGCTGTAGTTTCCTCTTGAGGACCCATGAGTATGAAATGCTATTTGTTTTCTGGCCTTCCTGCTTAAGTCTCACTTCCTCATGCCACACCTGACAGACCGTGCAATGTGCCCACAGACCCACTTTGGGTCAAACTTCAGACAACTCTGCAGGGTTCTTTTTGATATCTGCTCTTCCTGTAAGTTTAATTATGCCTTGGACCACCATGACACCAATTCCTGCCCCAACTTCAGTGCTAAATACAGTCTGATCTGTTACAGACTCTGTCTTTCAAATCAGATTCTAGTGGGAACTGACTGAACACCAGATGGCTATGCACCAACTGGCTTTGGGTGTGAGCTCTGCCTAGGTTAGGGTCATGTGTGGCTGGGACCTGAGAGAGGGGCATGGATATATGATAAAATCAGGACAGCTGGGATGGGCCATGAGGTGTAAACAGGGGGATATGGATGGGCAACTCTGACATACCTGGGGCATCTGGCAAAACATCCTGAAGGACCATTAAGCTTGGCTTAGTCATGGTAGGTACAGGCAGAGCCCTATAAAGAACTGAGACAGGTTGATCGAACACTCGTCATATGCCATGTCTGTGCTGGGTGTTTACTCCACAAAAGACGTGTGAGGAGATAAGTCTTATCTTCCCACTTTACAGAGATGGAAACTGAGGATCTGACTTGTGACAGTTTTTTGTAAGGGTCAACTGCTAGTTATTTAAATTCAGGTCTGACCAAAGCCAGCTTTCATGCCCTTTCTATTCCAAATATCATGCTTTCCCCACAACCATAGGCTTCGGTCAGCTGGAAAAAATCCATTCTGGCACCATTTCTGAAGGACTGGAAAACCCTTCTTTCTGTGCCTCAGTTTCCTTATCGGTCAAAATAGAAAGAACTCAGCTGGCCTCATGGAACAGGTGATCTAAAGAGTTACTACTGAAAAGGTGGAACAACAGAAATGTCCATCAACAGATGAATGGATAAACAAAATGTGGTATATATACACAATGTATACTTCTCAACCACAAAGAGAAGTGAAGTCCTGATGCATGCTATAATACAGAGAACCTTGAAAACATCATGCTGAGCAAAATAAATCAGTCACTAAAGGACAAATACAGTATGATCCCACTTATATGAAATAAGTGAATATATAGAAACCAAAGATTATTAACAGTTACCAGAGGTAGGAGGGAGGGGGAATGGGGGAATTTTTGCTTACAGGGCATTGAGCTTATGTTAACAAGGGTGGAATAATTTGGAAAAAGGTACGAGAATGTGGCATAACTTGAAGAATGTAGTCAATGTCACTGAACTGTACATATAGAAAATGTTGAGTTGGCTCATGTTTTGTTATGTATATTTTCACCACAACACAAAAAGAAAAAAAAAAAGAGTTACTACTGGATTTGCAAGAACTCTGGGTAATTATAAAAGAGATACAGAGGCAAAAGATTCAGTTCAGCAGCATTTATTGGGGTCTTTTGTGTGCAGGGGGAAGGCAAGGATCAGACAGTGCCCTCCAGGAGCTAAGGGATTAGTGGGATAAATTAAATGAAAGTGCTGGTCTTGGCAATGCAAGGCTCAGAGAGCTTTTTGGGAGTTGTACAGAAAAGACCATGGGAGTCCAGATGAGGGTTGATCCCTAAGTGTCATGCCATGCAGTCAAAACCTGGGAATCTGCCCATGAACTTGAATGAAATCAGCCATCATCACCCAGTCCCTCACCAAAGTGCATGTGCTGCTATTTATTGACCCTGGACACTCCTAGGCTTCTCCTCCAGCCCTTTTCCTTCCTGTCATTGTCCCTTTCCCCCCTTCTCTATTTCTTATTATTTATAATCAAATTAAAATTTCTGTGGTGGCATTTAAACGATTCCTTCAAGAACTGGCACCAGAAATCCTCTTAGGGAGGATGCTATTGTTTATAAGTGAATTGGGTTGGAAAAAGAGACCCAGAACACATTGACTCAAAGAGTCAAGGGTATAATGGGTAGATTGTTCTACGTTATAAAAGAGCAGGAATCTAGGGGTGGGATGACAGGAGGGAAGAGTGGAGGGATGGCAGAGCAACATGATGGAGGGAAGACAGACTTTTAAGAACAAGGATGTTTAAAGTTCAACTGGAAGCTTTCACAGTTGTTTCTGTTGCTGACGAGTAAATATCCCTAGTTTGCCAAACTTTGGTAAAGTATGTTCCATGCAGAAAGGCCTTATGTGAGTAGCTTTTAAGGGAATGGAGGGAAATGGCTTAGTTCCACTCTGAGTTAATTTCATTCAGAACAAGGACAGCAAACACCAGATACTGTGTGAGCTGAACTAGTTCAATTGAAGCAAAACTCGGAGCCACAAGTGAAAACACAGGGGAGGACAATAGATTTCCCAAATTTTATGAGGCAATCTTATCTAGATCTCAGGGAGATAGAGCTCTTCAGCGGACATCTAGATAACACTGTATTTTTCTCGATGATCAATAAAAGCTGAAGACTGTATTATATAAAGTATCTCTCTTTATATCTTGCCTCATTTAAGCCATCCTCTTTCACACTTGTCCCTTCCCATTCATTTTCCTAAGGTGACCCTATAATTTATTATCCACAGCAGGGCAGTTTTGAGAATGGAAGTGGACACAACTGATAATTATTCAAGTATAATAGGTATCATTCAGGAATGTTTTGAGCAAACTAGTATGTATGGTTTCCCTACGCTCCTTACAGTTGAGGATGGTGAGACTTCATCTCACTTCTTTTGGACATGTCATCAGGGGGGACCAATCACTGGAGAAGGACATCATGCTTGGTAAAGCAGAAGGTCAGCCAAAAAGAGGGAGACCCTCAATGAGATGGATTGACACAGTGGCTGCAACAATGAGTTCAAACACAGCAATGACTGTAAGGATGTAGCAGGGCTGGGCAACATTTCATTCTGTTATACATAAGGTTGCCATGAATCAGAGCTGACTTGATGGCACCTAACAACAACCTCCCCTAGGCTGAGGTCCAAAAACCAAAACAAATATCAATAGTATCTTCTTGCATATTTCTTCCTCCCAAAATCAAAGGCATGAAAATTTTTTCTTTAGTGGGTAATCTTAAGATAAACCACAGGAAATTCTTGTGACTTGAGTCATAACTCGAGATGAAATTAATGTGGAGCAGGATAGGAGAAGGTGGAGCTCAAAAGGTCTCCCATCTCCCTCCTCACATTTCCTTTAACTCAGCATTTGAAGGAGGCGAAGTAGAATTGGCAGGCGTGTCACTGGTCTGGCCTGAGTCCTCCGTCAGGGCTCTCTCCAGACTGGCGGGCAGGGAGTGGATCAGTCTCTCTCGGAAGTCGTGGCCCATGAAGACATAGAGCATTGGGTTAAGGCAGCTGTTGAAGAAGGCCAGGGCGACTGTTATATTAATAGCTATTCTAAGGCCTTGGATCATATTCAGCAAGCGTTGTCTGATTCTGATTGTGGCTATGAGGGCCACTAGCTGATATGGAAACCAGCAGATAAAAAAAGCAACTACAACAGAAGAGAGGACCCGTAAGGGACGGCTGGATTTAATCAGGCCTTGTCTGTGGATCTTGGCGGCGACAAGCCCATAGCAGATAGCTACTGTGGACATCGGCATACTGAAGCCGATGATGAACCGGATGATCCCTCTGACTGTGTACATGATAATGTCCACCTTCTTCTTCTCGTCACGGTTTGTAGTCCAGGGTGAAAAGTCCAATTTGCAGAATGTCCCTGCTTCATTACTTATTGTAGTCACACGAATGATAACTGGCAAAGTGAAGAGGAGGGCAAGAATCCAAGGTACAATGATCACCCTCTTGGCCAGACCTACAGTGCGGTGGTTCTGTGCCCAGACTGGATGTAGGACACAAATACAGCGGTCCAGAGCGATGACAGCAATCAGAAAGACACTACCAAACAGGTTTATGTCCACCACAGTATAAATTAACTTGCATAAGAACCAACCAAAAGGCCATTGTCCTCTCATGGCTTGAGAAACCATGGTGAATGGTAGGGTGGCAGTGACAGAGAAGTCAGCTATGGCCAGGTTCAGGTAAGAGATGGTGGTGACTGTGTGTGTCATCCGGAAGCCAGCCACCCAGATCACAAGGCCATTGCCCAGGATGCCGAGGACACAGGTGACTCCAAGAACTACCTGAGAGAAGATATTTAGGGCAGCATAGCTGGAAGATTCAGGTTGGATCCCTCCAGACACATTCATGGGAAGAGAGGAATTGGTCTCCATCTTGCCCACTCCTGAAACAGTTCAGTAATGGTCATTTCTTAGTTATGAGCCCGAAGGCAGTCTCTTCATGCCTTCACCTCTGCACCCATTGACTTTCACACTCATACCTTCCTCTCCTTCCCCTACAGCCCCACTCCAGCCAGAACATTCTCACCACTGCTCACTGTGCCTACTCACACCTATAACTTGGCAAAATTTTATGAGACCCTTTGGGCAAGATTTCATCTTGCAACATATTCCGACAATTGTTAACATCAAAGCCACCTACTTGACTAAAGAAAATAATGTCCTTGCCTTCCAAGAGGAAAATATTGAGCAAAGGGCATATGGAGAAAATACGTACTCCAACAAAAACTTGTACACTAATGTTCTTTGCAGTATTAGTCATACTAGCCAAAAGGTGGAAACAATCCAAATGTCCATCAACAGATCTTTTTAACTGATCTAGACAAAATGTGGTCTATCTGTACAATGGAATATTCTTCAGCCATACAGAGGAATGAAGTACTGATATATACTACAACATGGATGAACCTTGAAAACAGTGTGCTAAGTGAAAAGGTCGAATATTGCATAATTCTACTTATATAAAATAGTCATAATAGGAAAATTCATAGAGACACAAATCAGATCAGAGGTTACCAGGGTCTGTGGAGAGTAGGAAATGGGGGGTTACTGCTTAATGGCTACAGAGTTTCTCTTTGAGGTGATGAAAAAGTCCCAGAACTAGATAGTGGTTATGGCTGCACAACATTGTGAATGTACTTAACACCACTGAATTCTACACTTAAAAATGGTTAAAATGGTAATTGTATGCTATGTGTATTTTACCACAATAAAAAAGGCAAAATAAAAATAAAAGGTGTATGGACAAGGGAAAATTGGTGGGAAACAGCTTCAGTGGATCAGTCAGGAAGACATGGGCTATGGTTCTCTCCCACCGGTTACTCTCTGCCTGAGGGCTACAAGATATGCAACTTCTCCCTCCCAGGTTTTATATTTCTCTTAGGAGGCATGAAAGGTCCTTTTACTCTGCCATTATGAGAGACAAGGCATACTATTTCATTAACATTCAAAGATAGTTAAAAAGATCAGCGAGTGGTAATATACAATGTGTGATCAACTATTGCATCTTGTGGCTTCTGTGCTGGAGGAAGTAGAACAAGAGGCCCCATCTCCACTTTTCTCTCCATGATTTTCTTGGCCAGATGGACAGGATACTCTTCTATATCCATTGGACGGGCTCAGTACTCTCAGGGATGAAGAAGAATATGATAGTAATAATGGTCCAAATGTGTGTTGGGTATCTATTTGGTTCTTTGGAACTTCTTAAATCTTTCACTTAGAGTAGCTCATTTCATTGCCTGATATACCTATAAAACAAAATGTTTCCACTTTACATAAGAGGAAATTGAGATTCAGAACATATGCCCGTCTCTTGCCAAGAGCTTTTCTTCTGTTCTAACCATTACAGCAGCCTCCTTCAATAGTTGTTGTAAGGATGAAATGGGTCAATACCATAAAGCATGAGCCACTGTTTGACACACAGTACACTCTTTTTTTTTTTTTTAATTATACATATTTTGCTGATGAGGAAACTGAGACTTAGAGTATTTAAGTAAATTGCTTACAGTCACCCAAATGGTAAGAAATGGAGGCAGGGCTTAAGCTCATGCTGTCAGACTCCAGCAAAGTCTTCTTCCTGTCTCTGCCATGCTACCTGTAGAGTTGAGCTGTCTAATACAGTAGCCACTCAACATACACAACTTTTGAGCACTTGAAATGATGGACTGTAACAGTAACATATCCACCAGATTTCAAAGATTTAGTAGGAAAGAAGAATGCAAAATATCTCAATAATAGCTTTTATACTGATCACATGTTGAAATAATAACAATTTGGCTATATAGAGTTAAGTAAAATATTAGAATTAATTTCTTAATTTTTTTAAGTGCCTGAAAAACAATTTTTAAGGAGCCCTGGTGGTGCACTGGTTAAGCACTCAGCTTCTAACTGAAAGGTCAGTGGTTCAAACCCACCAGCCACTCCACAGGAGAAAGACGTGGCAGTCTGCTTCCGTAAAGATTTACAGCCTTGGAAATCCTATGCGGCAGTTCTACTCTGTCCTAGAGGGTTGCTATGAGTCAGAATTGACTTGACAGCCATAGGTTTTTGGTTCTTTGGAATAAACAGTTAAATATGTGATGTGCATTCCTGTTGAACTGCAATGCTCTACAGTCTTAGAAACAACTTGAAAATGTGTCCCTACCCCCCATCCAACTATTGAGACACCCTGAGGACTGTCTGTCGTCAAGAATCACTAAGACAACTATTTGAAAAGGTTGATGTAATCAATAAAAAGAAGAAGACAGGTCAGAGAGGAAACGCTCTGCAATTGTGGCTCTACTATGGCTCAAGGGGAAGGAGAAAACCTGTGATCTGCAGTCAACACAGATCATGGTGGTTACCATTTACCAAGCCCCTTCTACGTACCAGTCCCTGTGCCACATTCTCACCTTTCTTGCTTCTGGTCTCATCAAGTTCAGTATTGGCTAAATATTATCATTACCATATGACAGAAGAAACTCACACTTCGAGAAGGGAAGTAATCCTTGAGTGGACAGAACTGAGTTCTGCTGACAGGTTCTTTACGTGGAGATAAAGCTCTGCTCTGGAAGGCTACTGCTTCCCTATTGTATTCATTTACCCATGATCCATAATAATTATTTTGGCCCTTTTATCCTCTCTTCAAAGCTCCAAGCCTCTTCACCCACTCCCACTCCCAGCTGATGCTCTTGCCTTGTACTCCATCAAATTTGCTCTCCTGCTTGCTACTGCACCATTGTTCTCTGATTTCCCCTGTTACCAAGAACATATGTATCCCTGCCCAAGACCTACCCAAAACAACTCCTGTATTTGTACTCCAAATGTCATCCCCTTCACTTTCTCAAGAACTTTCCTCCTTTGTTTGTACCCATTTCTGCAGCATCAATATTTTCTCTCTACTTCATCCTTTCCATCAGCATACTGATATGCTCTAAAACCTCTGATCTTTTTTTTTTTTTTTTTTTTTAAATATTTTATTGTACTTCAGGTGAAGGCGTACAGAACAGATAGTTTCTCATGTAACAGTAACACACATGCTGT